ATAGGGATTTTCCCATGAGCACCTGAACTAAACTCACTGAGGCAATGCTGACACCTGCTGGTGACTGAACTCAGAGATCCTGGGTCAATAGAAGCTCAGAAAATACTTCATCAATGACTAAGTTCTGAGTATCCCAGCCTTAAAGGAACAGTTCGCACTTAATTCAGATCAACCTGGACATTCTGAAATAAAACTCCTTAAAAAACAGCCACAATCAAAGTCTAAACACAAGTCATTATTATACGCCATTATTGGCTTTACAAAGTCTCGCCTGAAAGCTTTAAGTTATAAACAGGATTGATGAAGGGTGTATAGAGATAGATAGATAGATAGATAGATAGATAGATAGATAGATAGATAGATAGATAGATAGATAGATAGATAGATAGCGCTTCCTTGTACAATACAGTGTACTTACCTAGAAAGTACTGGCTAATATAAGGTAAGTACATGGAACAGGGGTTAGGGGTAGGTTCAGGGTTAGTACTAGTTATTACCCAGTAATTGGAGTTGCTAAACTAAGTACATAGTATTTACATGGGTAACTGGACTGTAAAAGGAAGCGTTACAGATAGATAGATAGATGGATGGATGGATGGATGGATGGATGGATAGATAGATAGATAGATCACATTACATTAATATTTGATGTAAGGGGAAAACAGAGATCCATGAGAGTTTTAACAGGTATTCCACACACACGTATTACAGTGGCGATTGGTTGTTGTGAGCAGCAGATGTCTGTTGCCGTGTCCCATGGTGAGTTGATTGATTAGCTGAGTTTGTCTCCACTGGGGTGCCGTATCTTCATCTTCTCCGACGGAACCGTCTCTTCCCGGCATCCCTGTTTCTCTCGATTACAGCCGCTGGTGTCCTGGGGATGTCCAGCATCACTCACAGCGGCTGCTTTTATCTGATCCGCCCGCTGTTGCTCGTATCCTACAGGCAGATCTCATCATTTGATGGGCTGTTCAATCTGTCTGTGTTGAAGCACAGCTGAGGGCCTGCGGTGATGCAAACCGCTCGGGGGAACCTGTCTAGAACATAACTGTATTTGTACGACTCAAAGAATACCTGAAATGCTCAGAAGGGACGTGAGAGAATTATTGTATGCACATCAAAATGCTCTTAAAGCACAGTAAGTGATTTCTGGGAATCAGTGTTGAACACTGCTGATGATATTTGAAACCAAATCCATATAAACACACCCACACCCCTCCCTTCACTATTCTGCCCCCAAATGTCTCTTTATCATGACATTTTTATATTATTTGTAAAAAAATTAAGCGAAGATGACGAACAAATGACAAAGAAGAATAAAATATGATCATACAGTACACGAGTGAATATACAAGCAAAAGTTTGTTTTTACTCACTTCTCCCCATCGTGTGGACGCACCCCTACAGCTAATTGGTTCACTCACTCTCCTCCCCCATCTTGTGGACACGCCCTCTACTGCTGATCGGCTCACTTTCTCTCCTCCCCCATCACGAGTGGACACACCCCCTACTTCTGATTGGCTTATTTCAGCCACTTGAATTAAACTACTAAAATTAAATAGAAATTTTAAAAAAAAAAATAATTCAAAATATGAATAGAAACTACAATCACATCTCAACACTTTTCATACTTTTATAATTTGTCTTTTCATACTTAAATTAGGCAATCGTACATTTCTGTCCTTACACATCGAAATTCAGAGAACATTATTTATAATCTGTATTCAGTCACCACTGGTAACTGATGGATGAAATATTGTAAAATTAAATTTTCAAATATAAGGTTGAACGGAAACTCTGTATTTTTTCATGTTCACTTTCACTTGCTGCTCTTTATAGCTCTCTTTACATGAAATAAGGTTTATTAATCTTTGTTCCCCTCCTTTACTCTCAATTAAATAATAATAGAAATATTAAAATCTGCCAAACATTGCAAAGCAACTAGCAATAATTAACTACATAACAATGTGTGTAGCAACAATTGCAAAGTCCGTTACCTTCCCTGTCATTATTTGTATTTATTTTTTGTATTTATTGTACTGATACAGGTTTGTAATGAAGGTGAGCACATATTTACAGAATTTCTATTTTTGGATGAACTATCCCTTGAAACAGGTTTGTTTTTGCAGTTCTACTATTAGTCACTAGGCGGCAATATTATCTCATATTTAATCTGATTCCTTGAAGTCGTGTTCTTTGGTTTTTATTTTGAAATATAACGCGAGTTATGTTTAATAATTAATATCATGCATTCATATGGGGTTTCTGTAATTTAAGTTAATAAAAGTTCGAGAATGACTCAAGTTTTGATTTATTAGCCTATCATTATTTCCAGGAGTACTGTTCCGACGACAAACGATGAGCTGGGTAGGCCTACTGTCACAAATATAATATAAAACTTGAATGCCAACTGAAACGTCTATCCTGAATCTTGTTTAAACTGTTCAACTTAAATGACTGTTAACTTAACAGTCGATCAATTGCTTTAATTTCAGACGTAAACATAATAAATCAAGTACAATCTACCCTTTATTTAATCATGAATAGCGTTTCTCACCACAGAAACAGTTCAATGCATTCTCTTCAGTGGTTTTATACTGAGATTTTGGAAATGCATTTGGTTATTGTGAAAAATGTCTCTTTCTCTGTTTTGAACAGCTAACATTTCAGGAAATTCCTCCACATTTTCCTGCAGGAATGCAAAGTTGAAAGTTCATCTATTTATGTCACATGTTTAATGACAGTATCAGTGAGTGTTGTGTGCTTTTCCTCAGGAAGTCTCGTTGTGCAAGAAACAAAATAGATACACCAATGAATACTGTACAGATTAAAGATGTTATACTGTGACCACTGTAAGAAGTGACCGTTCTGTCCATGACTCGGTTCAAATGAAAAATATGTCCAAATCTTCTATAAAAACATCTGGGGATCTCTCCCCAGCAAACAAAAATATGTTCTGATAAAGCCCCCATGTTCAGAGAACACACAAAAAGTACAGTTTTTAATGTTTATTAACGTTTTTTTCTTAGTGGGAAAAAAACGTGAACACTAGAAACATTGACAATTTACTTGAAGGGGTGTGCATAAGACTGGCATGACATCTTAATAACCATGACATGACATATGAATATGAAGTAGGGGTTATGCATGTTTGTGACGACTGTCATTTTGTCTTTCGCTCAATAATGACATTTTGAATGCAAATATGACATTGTTTAAGATGTCTTTTGATGTGACAGGTTATGATGAATTGGTTTATGTCAAGGTGTCATAACAAAGACATCTCAAACAATGTCATATTTGTATTAAAAATGTCATAACTGAGCGAATGACACTTAATGACAGTTGTCATAAACATGCATATAACATCCATGCTTCATATTCATAATATGTCATGTCATGATTATGAAGGTGTCATGTCAGTCTTATGCACACCCCTTCAAGTAAAGTGTTACCCATTATTCTTCAAACATAATGAGAATGTTATCTTTTAATGTTTAATTCTGAAACAAGTAACATTTAAATAACATTTCAGGAAGAAAAAAGCATGATGTATAAATAATGTTTTTGTGCTGATTTGTGAGAGCATTATTAAAGGTCAGATAACTTTCTGAAAGAATGTTTTGAGAAAATGTTAGATAAAGTTAATGTCAGTCTTGACCCCTGACCTTGCACTGAGCGTCCATCTCTATAATGCATTAATCTGGTCAATTCTGGCTGATTCTGATGAGTTTTTTTCTCTGAGTGTTCATTTGTTAGTGTGAATGTTTGTGCAAATTCATGCATGAGTTCTTCACTTCTCATTTCTCCTCTTTGCAGCTCTCACACAACAGTTTTCACACTACAGTTGCCAACTCAGTGCTGTATATTTCCAACTGAGCTTTGTTGTGAATGCTTCATTTGTACATGATGTTCCAAAGAAAGGTTATCTTTGTAATCTTTCATCAAAAATGCAATAACTTGACAATGCAATAACATGCCTCTGACATGACTTTATGAAACCCTTGTGAATCTACTGAGCCAACTACCTCATCAAATGATTGTTACTTTTACAGTTTTAATGTAAAATGTTAATGTAATTGGTAATGGCCATTCATCCTTGCAAAGAGTCTCATAATCGCACTGACCTCACGCAAGGAAAACATTTCAGATACAATCATCCCTAAAGATGGACGAACTTGACCATGGTCAGTGATCAGTCTATAAACAAAAACTCAGATTTGATGTACTTTAATGAGAAAACCTCCCCTAGTCTGTTTACTTTGTCAGGCTGTTTCTAAAGCAGAAGTTTACTTTTCAATACTTCAGAGTACAATTCACTGTGGGAATGTTTTCACGTTCACTCAAGTGTGTTTCCAGTGAGCTGTTTTGGCATGAATGCACAGGGTTATTGCCTATTGCTCTTTATAGACGTGGGTCCACTCTGTCATGTAAACGTCTCCAGATGGGACAAACAACACAAGAATATCTGCATGCAGAATTCTGGAGGAACATGCATTGATAGAAGAATTCGGCAGATAATCATAAACACATTCTAAAACAATAACAGCGTGTGTGTGTGTGTGTTTATCACTCTCATATAAACACAATAATGATAGGCTATTGTGAATGTTGTCATAGTCATTGTTGACTTGTTGAAAAAGTCAGTATTGAAGCAAATAATATATTTGAAATGAAACATTTGGGCAAAAATAGGGGGTCTAACTAAATAGGAGAAAAGAAATTGGACCAAACGTTCTGAATTAATTCACAAGAAAATAATTAATGCATAGAATGATTCATTTGCATGTTTCAACCTCGCTACAGATTTACACCGTCAAATTTACAGGTTATATATTGTACAATAGTTTAAAGTGGACTTCTTTTGTCTTGTTTGGAATAACATATGTGTGTGGCAACAACCTATATCGAGGGAGCGCCCAGCTAGGCTTATTTCCCGAGATTATGACGTCAGTCGGCAAGCCCCGCCCCCGGCTCGCTTACGCACTCTGCACGTACGGCAGTTAAACACGTTCAGTTTGTGTAATAACCGCCCGCCGCGAGCACAACAGCAATCGGCGCGGCGTTTAGGAGGAAAGCGTCGCGTCTGAGCGTTGGTTACTGTCACGCACAACATGGAACAGAGGACGTTAGTTAGAAAACAACAGCGCGAGAGGCAAAAACAAGCGCGGACACCCGCAACTTCACGCTGACAGCGATTTAAAAAGCCTTCGTAAAAGTTTCGCTGACGCGCGCGTGACGTTGGACGAGTCAAATGTAACAGGCGAGTTTGTTTGTTTGTCTTTAATAATTAAAATCGGAGGGAAGTGTAGGTTGGCATGGGCGCCAAGCAGAGCAGTCCCGCTGCCAACGGGCGCACGCGAGCGTACTCGGGCTCGGATCTCCCGTCGAGTAACGTCAGCGGCAGAACGGCTGCGATGAGATATCACGCGCACAGTACATCAGGTGCGACATCATCATCATCATCAGCGGCAGCTGCTTCTCACTATATCGGCCCCAGGACGCGCTCTGTGGGGGGTGGTACCGGTGGCCCGGGCGTGCGACCCCAGTCGAGCATTAATATACCGAACTCCGGGGCGTATAGCTCTCAAGAGTCCGGTAACAGCACACCGGAGGAGAACGGCGGAGAGAGAGAGCGGTCAACCGGCACCCCGAGACTGTTAATCGGATCTTTACCTGCTCACCTGTCGCCTCATCTCTTTGGAGGTAGCTAACGTTAAATCAACAGTTATTTGTAGTTGTTCTGACATACTTAAAGGGATAGTTCACCCAAACATGAAAATTCTGTCATCTTTTAGTTACTCACCCTCATGTCGTTCCAAACCTGTACAAGTTTTGTTCTGTTGAACACAAAAGATGATATTTTAAAGATTGTTGGTGACCTACCAGACGTTTGGTGGTGTACCCCATTGACTTCAATAGTTGTAAGAAATGATGATTAAGTCATATCAACTGTTTGTTTACCAATATTCTTCAAAATTTCTTTTTTGTATTCATACATACAGGTTTGGAACAACATGACAGAAATTTCATGTTTGGGTGAACTATCCCTTTAGCTTTTTTAAATTCTTCTAAATGTGGGTTGTCGACATATAATGTCCATGAAGTTTTCGTGTCCATCAGCATTTTTATATTTATATTAGTGCAAATGCATGCGGGCACTGTGTATATAATACGTTTGAGAGGTCAAGGTCATGTTTGTTATGTTTCTACTTCCCAGCCTATGTCATGATCAAGTTCACAATGGCAATAATTAATGGATCAGCCCTTGTGGAGGAGTTTGAACCTTCATCTTTTAGGTAACCACTAGGTCACCATTATGTTCAGTGGTTTCCAACAGTGACGGAAGAATATGTTTTGGTTTATTATTGGTGGAAGCAAAATGGTGAGCTTATCAAAGGATGTGACGATCCTTTTGTTCTATATATTTTGTGCAGTTATGTGCATGCTGTTTTTTGTTTTGTTTGTTTTTGTACAGATGCATGATAACAGTGGTTAGAGATCGCAAGGAACCTTGTGGTTCGGAAGTTCCCTGAACAGGTGTAGAGATGCATGTGAGCGATAATTATTTCTGATTAGTTCAGTCGTCATGCGGGTCTGTTGTTGTGTTTCTGAGAACGAGTTCAGTAATCTGATGATTCATAAACAGTGGTCATGCTATGTAAATGGCTGATTCTCGGGAAAACTGTCCAGAAAAGGTTCTGGTCAACATATCAACAAGTTTTGTTTTGCATTATGCACAATTGACTCACGGTTCTCATTACCGTTCTAATTCTCTTCACATTTGACTCGGTTCTCTTTTTTTCAATGAATGCATTCATACAATTTTTCGGTTCATGACCATGACCTTGGTGTTGATGGCACCATGCTTTACAGTTTGAGCTACAGGAATGCTACCAAAAGTAAAATGTCCAGATGCATGATGTTATATAATATAAGGTAAAAAAAATCATAATGGTTGTACAAGATCCTTTAAGTATACCTCATTTGTCCTCTTGTATTGAAGTGGAATATGACCTGTACATATTTGTATGAGATTGCCGCAGATGTTTTGTATTGGCAGTTCTTTGTTTCTTACACACACACACACAGACTCTGGAATATTCAAATCCAGTGAAAAGGCAGGTGAGGCCGTCGATTATGGGATGGATTTTCCTCAGTCGTTGTGGCCTGGATTGAACTTTAATTCTCTAACAGGCTCTTACTGGTGATTGTAGTTAATCTTTAAACATTGGCTGAGGATGACTTCTAACTGACTGGATGAGATCGAGAAGGGAGTTTTTATAGGGGAAATGAGACTTGTTCATTTTCTGTTATCAAAAAGCACGGGGGAAACCTGTCTATAGTCTCTACACTGTAAAAAAAAAAAAAATAAATCACATGATCAATACGTTATGACAACATGTGTTTTTGCATTGCTTTAACTCATCAAAATAAGTTAAGCAATTTTAAACTTAAAGTTATAAGATTCAACATGTTGTTTTTAAGTCAGTTTAATGTAATTTAAGTTAAAATCAAGTTGATCTTAAAAATGTAAGTGTTTTTTACAGTGTTTTTTATGTGCATTTTATAAAACCTGGAGGCAAAATTATTGTCGTGTCATATGAGATCTCTATTTGAACTACTTATTTTAATTGTGTGACTGACTTTATTGTGTAAAAAAAGAATGAGAACTTTATAGAAAAAACAGTTCTGCATGTTTCAGTGTAATACAGTTTTGAATGAAATCTCGCTGTTTTGACGCACACAAGATTGAAAACACTCATTTAATGAGCTGACATCAGAGAGGAGTATCACTTCTAGTGAATGTGTTTAATATGTAAGAATTTTAATTCTATGCATGCATGCATAACTAGTTGAATTTTGAATGCAATATAGGCCTAATTCCATAGACTTCAGTTACCCCTTTTCCACCGAAAAAAGAACTAGTTCGGAACTGGTTCAAAGTTGGTTCGGAGTTGGTTCAACTTGCGAACCCGTTCAGAACCTGTTTGTTTTTCCACTGACTAGAGCGCCCAGGGAACGACGTCGTTACGTCACTGTGCACGTCGCTAGAAACGCTTGCAAGTACATTGCTTTGGGATTATCTCTAACTCGTGTACCAAGAAAACTTTAAAAACAATTGAAATATGTAAGTCTTTTAATCTTTTTGTTTGATATGTAATCTTTTCTGATAAGTTCTACCCTATCTCACGACCAATTCGTACGAATTCGTACGAGTGATTCAAAAGTGGCTAATTCGTACTAATTCATACGACCTCACTCGTACAAATTTGTACGATTTGTCTAAACCCACGTGACGGTTATGTTTAGGGGCGGGGTCAGGGGTAGGTCATTCGTACGAATTCATACGAATTGGCTAATTCGTAAAATATGTACGATTTAGCTAAATCGTACGAGTGAGGTCGTACAAATTGTTACGAATTAGCCACCTCGTAGAATTCGTATGAATTCCCGTGAGATCGGGTTGGATAAGTTATGTACCCCTGTCTTGTGTCTTTTTTTCTTTCCGTTTATTTGTTCTATATCGTGACTGTTTTCTTCTTTGCTTATGTTTCAAATAAAAAAAATAAAAACGCTTGCGTGTTTCTGCAGTTTCTCCTGGCTTTGCGATCGTCAGAAAATATGTTTAGAACACATCTAAACCCGCCCCAGCCCCCGACGTAAACATGAGGTGCTAAAAGAACGGTTCTAGTCCAGCAAAGAGTTGGTGCCGCTTTGGAACCAGTTTTCCCGGCCGTGAACCGGTTCTTTGGCTGTCGAAACACAAAGAACTGGTTCGCGCGCACGCACCGGCTCTCAAAATGCTTTGGTGGAAAAGGCGCTAGTGAGTTTGTCGTGCAGTGTTGATTTACTCTCCTCTTGTTTAATATCACGTAACATGCATGCCAAGTTCAGTTGTTCTCATTTGTATATGTAAAATAAAACCAGTTTTATCCAATAGTTTTCAAACTATAGGCCTATTTGTAATGCATTGTGTGCTGTGCTGGTATCACACTGCTTTTCTTGCCATGCACTAATGCGTGTTAAGTGCATTAAGAGCAAAAACCTTTTATATAGACAATAAATACGGTTCTTTTTAACTTGATGTTGTCTTTTAAAGCTTCGATGTCCTACAAATCTGTTGACAGAGATCTAGACCATTTCCACACCGCAAACCACCAATGAAACCAGATCCAGTCGTTTGGTACGTCATTGCTGTGGTTTAAAAGAAACGTCCTCTGCCGGTCATGCATGAACTCAGGAGGGACACGTGGTCCGTGTTCATACTGTCCACACTCAATAAAACACACATAAACAGAGAGTGAGCCAAACTGTGTGTACATGAAACACACACTGCCTTCCTGCTGCTTCACTCTCACTTTAAATGAAAGCCAGGAAGTGTTTGTTGTGGCTCCCCTTTGCTGTTCTCTGACTTTGACTCAACAGGCTTTGTGCAGCTCCCTTTACCGTAACGGCTTCGCCTACAAGCTGTCGAATGATGGCCATTGTGCACTTACGTTTCTGTTTTTGATGGTGTTAGGAGCACATGTTGCCATATATATGTCTTAGGCTTCCACATCTACTAATTTTACTAGTTGACCAATAGTCTGTCAATGTTTACCTTATGTAAATGACTTACAGAACACAGTGCAGCATCAGCGGTTTTGTCCAGTGTTGTTTTGATGGACTGAGGAAATGAAAGCATGCATATCTCCATCCATTACATGCTTTTGCAGCTGAATTCTGTCCAAAGCGCCACCACATTCACTTAAGACATGCTTTTCGAATGCAAGTTAGCTAACTTGCAGATAATATAGAGATAACAAATATTTTAATATTGTGATCATCCAATACCAATCTGGCTGATAAATATGATGTTATTAATATTAACACTGAGAACATGCATGCACAAAGTGTTTATCAATGTACACAAGACTTTTTATTAGACAAAAAAAATTAAATAGGATACTTTATAGAACTGTTTTTAAAAATCTAAGGTTTGCATAGCCTATATCTTTTTTGTTCTATCATTTTATACATCAGTCTTGTATGTATGGTATAGTGAGAATATGGAGCTCACACTCAAATATAATCAGAGACCCAAACTGAGAAAACATTATGCCATTTGGTGCATTTTAACTTATTTAAAACAGAGTTAAAATCGTTCTAAATGTAAAAGAATAGCAGACTTCACACCACAACTATAATCACTTTTATAATAATTTTTAAAGAGATTTAGCATTTAAAAGGAACATGTGCTCATTTTTACAGGTAAAATATTGTGTCTAAAGTTTCAGCTCAAAATACTCCACAGATCAATTATTATGCCATGCCCAAAATGCCCCTTTTTGGGTGGAAGCAAAAATATGCCATTTTTATTTGGGTATATTTAAACAAAAAATGATCTGCCCACACCCTTTCCAGAAGAGGGCTGTGCCTTTACAGCTCGTGCCTCGAATACTTCGGCAAAACTGGAGAAACAGCATAGGGCCGTTTCCACAGAAGGCTTCTGCATGGGTCGGTGGATTTTTACCATTATTAGGTGATTGTGTGCACACTGCCGACACAGGTTTGTGTTCAAACACCATGTAAACGTGAATTTTGCACAACAGGGGACTATACCATGAAGCCAGTTTAGGTGGCTACTAGCCAGCTATGTTTCAGTTTAGTTTGTGCCAACCCTGGTTTTTAGGTACCATGAAAGTGGTTTGGCTTTTAGCAGTGTTCATCGCCATAGTAACTCGCTGGTCCGGGGCA